TAGTTCTGTGCACAGTGGTATGCTCTGTGGATATGACCATGAGAAAAAGACACAAGCTCTCTAGCAACAAATACTGATGTGGAAATAGATAAACTTGTGGGGCAGTTCAATGCAAATACCACGGGACAGACTTTGCTGGAGTTTGGAAGGGCCAGCCTCTCACTTAAGCATTTTTAGAGTGAGTTGTTAGTGCTGGGCTCCAGGATTATACATATGGCAGAGGCTGTCCTCACCCTCTATACACATACAGTCTATTGCATAAGACAAGACTTTCTGGGCCAGAGGGTCATTGTGATAGCAGCAGAATGACCATTTTGTATGGAGAATGCCTAGTGATTTGGGACAAGTGGATCTTTAGGGTGTGTATGGAGCAGGGATGCAGGAGTCAGGGAAAATGATGCTGAAAGGTCGACAGAGCCAGCAGTGGTGGGATTTTACCTTTCCAGGTTCTCCTCTGGTCCAGAGTATAATGGCAGACTGTGGAGAAATAGCGCTGTGTTTATTTGGGTGTATCAATCAGGTGTGGTGCATATTAATCATCTTATAAATGTCTCCTGTTGTAAGAATGACAAACTCAGGTACCCACAAGAACGAGCCTCCTTGAGTAAAATAGACCAGAAGAGCCGTGGTCCAGCTCAACTGGTGGTTACAGTAGGGAATGTTGGACGGAGGCATGTTGAAGTACAAAGTGTGTGTGTGTTTTGCGTGTGTTTGTGTGTCCTGTCCCATCTGAAGATCAGACACTAAATTAAACAAACAAGCAGAAATATGTTCAGTTTTAGCTTATGCAGCACCTACTGGTGAATTCTGGCCTCTTCTTCACAAGTAGTAGGTTGTGACTATATATAAATTTACAAGCAGAAATTCAATCAATATATCAAAGAGGAAAAATCGGACTGTTTCTTAGTAAATGGCAAAATTTTTGCAAGATAGTCGAAATTGGTGGAAATTGACCCTTGTTTATTTTTATTTTCTCTGTCACCTTGTTTGTCTCTTGTGATTAAACACTGCTGATGCATGGTGAAGGCTTGAGCAGAGCCCTTATCCTCAGTGATGCTGGCATGCTCTTTGCTGTTGGTTCAGCAGCACTGAAGTCTGTACTTGCCTCTGCTGCAGCCACCATAATTAAGCCCCTTATGTTCTGCTCTCAAGCCATATCTTTGCAGTGTGTAAAATGAATAGTCTTAGGGCCTTAATGACAGTGTTGCCTGGCTTCCTCATTGAGGTTTTGAGACTTCCAGCCATTGAAATATGCACATTTCACTCCAGATTTGAGAACACCAGCAACTTAGTAGTTACTGTGGAATTGAGTGAATGTCATAAATATTTATTTATCTTTTTCATAGCTGGCATAAAAATGTTAGGATATAAAAAAGTTGTTCCATATAAAAACAACAGGAAATTCATTGGCTATACATCTCCTGAATGCGTGTGTCTCTTCAGGTTTTCATTAGCGTCTAGCAATATACTTCGAGAAATTAGATTTGAAGCAAAGCTCTGGCAGAATATGAAAGAGCCCAGTGCTGTAATTAACCCGTTTTAAGCAAGAATCCAGGCATGCAGCAGCTTACTGTTAACTGTGTAGGGGCTTAAGCCAAGTTGAATGGGTTTCTCTTCTACAACTTTTAAAGATAAGCTAGTTCCATGTTAATTGCGTTTGGAGAGTGCAAAGGAGCAGGAAACTGGGGGAAAGGAAGCTGACAGTTTCTATCCAGAGGCAGCCTGTGGACTTCTTTGGAGCTATGGAGATACAGACACTATGGTGCTAGGTCGACATCAACACAAGTTTCAGGTTATTTGAATTTTCCAAGTTCTTGTTTTTGTTTTTTGTTTTCCAAGACAGGGTTTCTCTGTAGCTTTGGATCCTATCCTGGAACTCCCTCTGTAGACCAGGCTGGCCTTGAACTCACAGAGTTTGCCTGTCAATTTCTATTTCTCTCATCTTTGACTGACTTAAGTTACTATCTACTCATCTGCTATTTTATGTTTTGGGGGGTTATATGGATTTTGAGGGATTTATTTCTTTTTCTTTTAGACGTTTTAGTGTGTTGGTGGGCTAAAAGAATCCCATTTGAAAAAACAGGATGAGCAATTCAATAGTGATCCAAAGCAAGCATGCCAGGTAAAACATACAGAATGACAACCCAAACTCAATTAAAATGTCAAAGGAGCTAGCATGTGTTGTGTGCTATGGCACTAGGGAGAATACCCACTGTGACCTTGTTCTGAATGACCATAGCACTCATTATTGCTTTACTTCTTCTTGCTTTTCATTACCTCTCCCTCTTGTGGTAAAAGACACTGTCCAAAGGGAGGGACATGTGAGCCAGCCCATGTTGCATCCCAGATTTTAGGCAGTAAACATTGATAGAAGGAGTATATGAAGTAGAGTTTCATTTAGAGTAGTTCAATAATAGGATGGTCGATTTGATGTTTTGATTGGTTTGTTTGATTGATTAATTGGTTGGCTGATTGGTTGATTTGATTCAGTTTGTCTATGTATTAGTCAGAATTCTCTAAAGGAACAGAACTGATGGAATATACATATACATATATATTCATATATGTGCACACACACAAATATGTATAGTATTTATTAGAGTGGCTAATGGGTTGTGGTCAGACTATCTCAACAATGGTTGTCTCCTGATGGAAAATTCAAGAACCCAGTAGTTGTTTGTTCCATGAGGCTGGATGTCTCAGCTGCTATGTGCTGACTACACACCAGAATCTTGAAGAAGTATTCTCTACCACCAGTGAAGGAATAAACTTGACAACCATCAAGAGTGAGGACAAGCAGGCAAGAGGAGCACTTTCTTCTTTTATGGCCTTTGTATATGCTGAATTTGTAACCCACACTTAAGATGGTCTTCCCACCTCAAATTATTCAATAAAGAAAAAGTCCTTACAGGTATATCCATTAGCTTGAGTTTCAGTTAATTCCAGATGTTGTCAAGTTGTCAACTAAGAACTAAGAATAGCTATCACAGTCTGGTTGTTTGATTTTATTGGTTGAATGGTTTGATCAGTTAATTGGTTGATCTGATTGGTATTCTTTACCTTTAAAGGTCTGGTAGAGTGAGTCTCATGAGTCCCTCATTCTAGGCCTTTTGAGGGGTGGGGGAACTGCTTCCAATCTTATTATTTGGTATAGGTTACTTTTTCAAGTGTTTATTTCCTTTTGGTTTAATTTTGGAGGCTGATATTATGCCTAGAAATTATTTGTTTCCTCTAGATTTTCTTACTTATTGGAACAGAGTTTTAAAAGTATTCCTAATGACATTCTGAACTTCTTCAAGCCCCCATATGATTTATGATTGTATTACTTTTGGTCTTTCCTTTCTTTGATTTATTTGGTTAAGGCTTTATCTTTTCAAAGAACTCATCACTTAGGGATCGTCTTCATTGTTCTTTTACTTTCCGTGTCAGTGATTCTGCTCTGCTCGTTGTTGTTTCTTTTCATCTACTAATTTCAGGTTTCCATGGCTTGTTTCCTTTTATCTTGAAATGTATCTTTACAAGTCTCTCTCATTGTTGTTGTTGTTTTTTTGCTTTTATAGACACTCAAAGCTATAGACTTCCTTCTTAGAACTGCCTTTACTTGCTGGGCAGTGGTGGCATCTGGAAGGCAGAGGCAGGTGGATCTCTGTGAGTTCGAGACCAGCCTTGTCTACAAGAGCTAGTTTTAGGACAGTCTCCAAAGAGCTACACAAAGAAATCCTGTCTTGAAAAACAAAAACAACGACAACAACAACAACAAAAACAAAAAACAAAAACAAAAACAAAGCAAAATCAAAAAACAAAACTGCCTTTACTATAGCCTCAAAGTTCTATAATATTGTATTTCAGTTTCACTTGATTCTAAAGAAATTTTTTATGTTCAGTGTCATTCACACATGTACTGTTGAATCTTGTATGTCTGTGTTTGTGAAATTGCTGTAGTTTTGCTTGCGATTGACTTCTTCTTTTACTCCAGTTTGATTTGATAGTGCCTAGTAAATTATTTCAATTCTACTTTGTCAGAACTGAAGGTGTAAGGCAACTTGTGATCTACTTTGGAAAAAAGCTCCATCCATAGTAATATATATATATCAGCTTGGGTAGAATATCTTGTTCATGTCTGTTTAGTCCATTTGATGTAGACACAGAATAATTCTGAAGTTTCTTTGTTGCAGTTTTGTTTGATGATCTTTCTATTCATGAGAATTGGGTATTGAAGTGTTCATTGTCTAAACCTATCTGTCCCCCTATGTCCAGTAGTGCTTGTTTAATGGGATTTGGTATGCCAAAAATTTGATGCCTATATATTTATAACCATTGTAATGTTCTTGATGGAGTATATACCTCTTATTAATATGTAGTGATTTTATTGTCTTGAACTAACTTTGACGTGTTCTTTGTTAGACACAAAAATGGCCACTCTTCTCTGCTTCCTGCTTCCAATTGTGTGGTATATAGAATCACTCTTTTGACATCTAGTCTGTTGAGTCTTTGCCAGTAAGTTGTGCCTCTTGCAGACAGCAATAGTTGGATCTTACTTTTCCATTTAATCAATTAGTTTGTATCTTTTAATTGGACAGTTAAGACCACTAACATTTAGGATTGTAGTTGAGAGATATTTGGCAATCCCTGCAAGTACTTGTATTGTTTTTCTGTTGAGCTCACATATTGTTTCTTATTTTCCTTCCTCTTTATTTATCCTTGAGATTTGCTAATTTACTAAGTTGGGCATGCTTGATTCCTAGTTCTCATCTACTCTTCCTGTGAGATTTATTCTTTCCTGTGTTCACATATTAGGCTATCTTCCTCCTCTGTGTAGAATTTCTTTGAGTCTCTCCTGTAATGCTGACCTCTGGTCATCCATTGCTTTAGCTTTTGGTTGTCTTGGAAGGCCTTTATTTCTCCATCAATTTTAAAAATGCATGTTTGCTGGCAATGATAATCTTGTTTAAGTTGTATTCACTTTAAGGGCTTGAAGTATATCACCTTGTGCCTTCCAGGTTTTCAATGTGTCTTCTGGAGGATCTAATGTGATTATGACGAGTCTGCCTTTGTAAGTAAGTTGTCTTTTTTTCCCTCTTGCTGATTGAATATTTGTTCTTTATGTTGTTTTAGCATTTTATTGATGAGGGGGTCAAAGAGTGATTTTTCTCTAGTCATCTCTAGTTGGAGTTCTAAATGCCTCTGGCATACACATATATACCCATACCTTTCTCTAGACCTGAGCAAGTTTCTGCCATGCGTTAACTGAATAATTTTTCTGTCTTTAGTTTTTAACCTCACTTTCCTTTCCCATGCTGTGATATTTAGGCTCTGTCTCTTTCGTATGTCTTGGAGTCCTTGGAAATTGTTGTCATATTATTTTTTCTTTGTTGCTGTCTGAACCTAACACTCCTCAACCTTGTGTTCGCTCTCCAGTATCCTTTGTTCTGCTCCATCTTGTCTGTTGATGATGTTTTCTTTTTGGTTCTTGTAATTGATTGACTCTTTCATTTCCAGCGCTTCTGTTTGGTTATTTTCCAGAACTGTAATTTCCTTGCTGAACTTTCCCCTTGTGTTGTTGCATTTCTCATCTGTTTTGCTAACATTTTGGTCTACACTGCTGACTTCCTGATGTAGGTCCTGAATTGATTTCTTTGCTTGACTCATCTGCTTATTTGAATCCACTTTGAAGTTGTTGAACATTTTGAAAGGGTAGATTTCGAATTCCTTTCCTGGCATTTCTGTTACTTCATTATCCCAGCCTTCAGTTACCAAGGCATTGTGGACACTTTACGAGTGTCACCTTGGCTGTGTTTTCACATTCTTCGTGTTGTGATTTCTGCAGCTCCTGGGATGGATTTATCTTTTAGTTTGATTGTTTTCATTTTCCCACTGTTTTATTTGGCTTATTTATTTATTATTTAATGTGGAGCCTCTCAGTGATCTTTCCCTGGGCCTATGATCCTATACTCTTTAGATTACAGAAAGAGAATACAGTGACAGGAAGAGGAGTTTGACACGAAACCCAGTAAAAATGCAGTGAGAAGACATGGCTACTTAAAGATTATTAAGCTAGTTCCATTTGGTGGCTCATGCCTGTCATCCTAAATATAGGGAGGCAGATATTGGAATCCTGCTGCTAGCTTGAGGCCAGCCCAGGTTATATAGGGAATTCCAGGCCAGCATGGGTACAACATGAGACACCCTGTCTATAATGCAACAAACCAGGAAATGCAGACAAAAAGACTAGTAAAGCACACATCTATAACTGAGAGGTCAAAAGATGAGGCATTGGGGAATGGGAATGAGAGGTAAAGCAAGAGAGAAATAGATAAATGGAAGATAAGGAATATAGAAACAAGAACAGGATAGCTATGCAAACAGAACCGTCACAAATGCCACCAAGCAAGGTAAACTCTAAACCAAACAAGTACTATCATGAAAGCGAAAATTGGGAAGAATGAAATGAAAATAAAAACTATGATAGAATCACTCAATATTTCTTCCTTACCAGGACAGATATGAGCCCCCTTGCCTCCTGAGTTGTCTTTTGAGGTCATTCAGGTGCTGGGAAAACAGTGGACATGTTTCCATTCCTGAGACAGTCATGTGGTCAGGTTTGAAGGGGTAGAATCCATGCTCAAGCTCACCGGCCAGGGCGGGATCTCCGTTATCCCACCACTGGAACCAGAGGCTAAGGCCAGCCTCCAAACTGCTTGAACTGAAACTGAGAAAATAGGCTAACTCTCAAAAATAAAAAATAAAAAATCAGGGAAGAACATGGATCACTGGCTGAGAGACAGGTGACCAATTGACAGGATACACAATTAAAGCTTACTACATTGTACAGTGTCACACAGAAAACAGTTTTGATGATCTGACCTGCATCTCTGAAGCATTCTTGGTTCCTCCATTTCTTTTCTGAAGAATGTTAGCTCGTTGGACAGGGGAAGGGAGCACGGAGAGGTGAGCAAGGTTTTTCTGTCCTGTAAATTGCTGTCAATTCACATAGCAGATTTGTACGACTTAATGGCACAATTCCTTTATCCAGAGGAAGGCTTTTGAGATGTATCTTGCAATTTCAAAGATTGGGATGTTTGGCTTCTGCTTGGTCTTGCACTTATGTTTTTGACAGCATACTCACAAGCTAATTCCTTCTCTCCAGGGAGCACCAGTGAGTTAGCAATGTTAGTAAATGGATGCATCTATTGTGATGACTTTTCTTTATGAATAAGGCAAAAGATATATTGCCTAAACCCCTTCTTAGACATGTATGAATCAAAGCTGATGGAATTTGCATGTCAGACTCCAGGTAATCTCAGATTGAGGTAAAGAGTGGGTACTTCAGTCCTCTGCCAGTGTGTTGGGATTTATAGGTGTAATTAAACCGTATCTATTAGTAATTACAAAAGCGGACACATGCCCTTAAACATGACTGTAGCTTATCAGCACTTCATAAAAGCCTGAATCTATTTATTTAATAAGCAAAGCCTGTATGGAAGAAAGTTTATTAATATTCTAATTTTCTGATTCGGCCTTTTTGAAATAAATTATGGCAACTAAAATGTTTTCTTTCGGATGTTTCTTGCCTAGTCTTATGAGAGAGACTGACATCTCACAGCACTATTTATGCTTAGTTTCTTTCTAGTCTGTTTTCAGTATGAAAATAATCAGCATGCTAATATTTACTGACTGAAAGATGAGTTTGACCTCATAGAAATGAGCTCATTTTGGGGTCCTAAGCTCTATGAGTTTGTGAAAATCGAGAGAATTTTGCTTGTCTTTTTCATTTTTGTAAACTTTATTGTGGCAAGATGCTCATATAACACCAACTTTTAATGAGCCAGTCACCATTATACAATGTATACTATCATGGAAATAACTTAGCTTTTGATGTTGCTTAATTTTAACTAGATCATACATATAATAGGCCATCTCTTTTTAAAGTCTAAATAATTGAGGCAGTCTTAGAAAATCTCTGGTCATCTCTGCTGTGTCACCTAGGCTGGGTTGAGTTCCCTATGAGCAGATAAAAGAAATGACATACTCTTACATTGTGGAGAGTCCCGTAGTGGCACACACATACAGCCTCTACTCACAGGCCAGGTGGAGGTCTGCATTACTTCAACTATCTACTTCTCCTCTCTGGCTCTACATATTCTCCACCAAGGAACAATGTTTCAGATGGAAAAATCTCCCCAAGCCCTGCCTACTGTGTTTTACACGCATCGTGATGGCTTGCCAAACTTAAGCAGCTGTGCTGTGTACCTACTAGATAACATGATGTTGCCCAATGTCATTCATGGCCTTTCAGAAACGATCCCACAGCCTACTGACCTGAGCTCTACCCATCTCTTAGTGTGCATTACACAGTAGAATGGACAACTTTGCATGTCTTGTCTCTTCCATCCGGCCCTATGCTGCTTGCAGACAGGTGCCTTTCACGGGTGTCTTCCAATATCTGGAAAGTATTTTGAATTTGCACATACAGTAAATATTTGGCAGCCACATCTGTAAGCTATATTTTAGAGATGTTACAGGGAAAGAGAAAGCCAAGGCAAATACAGGCACATCCAAAAGGGGGGAATCTCTTACAGAGTTGTGGTGAAATTGCTTAGGTACTTATGCCCTATAATGCAAATTCAATAGTTTCTCTGGGAGATTGCATTTTAATGTATATGAAATGCCAAATTTTTGCAGTTGAGAGGAGAAGTAAATCATTCCATGGACTAATGGAATCCTGCATTTCTGATTATTCAGCACCTTATGATAGGACTGTGCTATGTTACTTTCCATCGTAGCAAAATGTATCCTTTTGAGTGGTCAGGTCAGCATGGTGTGGTTGAAACAGATTAGGGAGCCTCCTCCATGCTCACTCAGGTTTTAATGTTTGCATGGGCTCAGGAAGAGTCAGTCTACAAAGCAAGATGGTGTACATGTTAAGGAGGTGAAAACAGCTCTGGCTTGTGCCCTTTGCTAGGGAGTTCATGGACAGATCAGATGAAAAATGTAAAATGGAGCCTGTGCTTTTTTAAAGATTGGTTTCATTATGTATTTATATGCATGCATGTGTATGTGTGCACATGAGTGTAGGTACCTTCAGAGGTCAGAAAAGGATATCAGATTCTTGGAGCCAGAGTTACAGGTAATTGGAAACCACCTAATGTGGATTCTGGGAACTGAGCTCTAGTCCTTTAAAAGAGCTACAATGGCTCTTAACTGCTGAGCCATCTCTCCAGCCCCTAAACCTGTTGGGTTTTTGTATTCTCTCTGTCTATAGTCTTAAAAATAAACTTGAAAAATAACTGCCTCATTTCTGATGCACTGTACATTTTTGCATCCATGTATGGACGCTAGTGGCTCATACTGGAGGGTAATGCTCATTTAGTTGAGTCCTCGGAGCTCTCACACACTAGTGCTATGAAAGCATCTCAAGGGTTCTCTTGTCTCCTTATCTATTGGAAACTACCCATTATTTCAATACGATAAGCAATAGACACAGGTAACCATAAAGTCAGTAAGTGCCCAGATCTTTAGGAAGGTAGAATTAAAATTAAGCACTGTCCTTTAGAGCAACTATCATTTAAAATTTGACCTTAGCCATCACTGTCTTTAGCTTGTTGGTTCTTCAGTGCAAGGCAGGAACCTTAGAGCTATTGGAGTCCATTAAGTCTACTGTGGATCTAGTTAATGTATATTCTTTTTATACCTTGAATACGAATGATCAGTTGCCTTGAAATTCCAATAAATTCAATCCATGCTTACGGTTGACTAGTAATACGAACTTGGGCAAGTCAGTATTCTCCTTTCTGACTCTTTTTCTTATCTATCAAATGAGGGTATTGTTTGTTTGTTTGTTTGTTTTTGCTTAAAACTTTCTAGGTTATGCAAGCAGGATGCTGGTTCTTAATGATCTATGAGCTAGACTAGGAAACTGGTAGGAGCCATTTAGTGAAGCTGCATCCTTCAGAGTCCTAGAATTCTCTGACTTGGCCTGTCTTCTGAAGTAGATGCATATCATGCAAGTAAATATGCCTGACAATGTTTTATTTATTTTAAAAGTGATACAAGTCTG